ATCTGCAAGCACACAAAACGGACAGATGCTCTCCCTACCCAACTACTCTCTCTCTCTCTCTCTCTCTCTCTCTCTCTCTCTCTTTCATGCTCTACACATCAAGCACATGAATAAGCTTGTGGATAGAGTGCCTTGGTCATGTATTTTCAATTTACCGTGTTTTACATTTCCTTGGGACTGGGAATACTTAATACTGGGACTCATAGGCTGTTTTCATTATCGTGTTTGACAAAAGTAGTTGTAGAAAGTGCTCTGATCTTTTCACGATATTACCTTCTTTTAGGAAATGTCCTTTATGCTTTCATTGTCATTCTTGATGAAACTTATCTCTTTCAGAACTTTCTCTTGACATAATGAAGGCTTAGATTTGGTTCATTTAATTGGCCAGTTCAGATTCAGTCAGTTACAAATCTGTTCTGCTTTAACACTCATTTCATATTTAGATTGCTCAATATCCCAGTCTATTAATTATTCGAGGGATCATTTGCCTTTTCCTTCTTTATTATATGAGCTTGATGCTAATTTAAATGTCATATGCTCTTGTAATTTTCAGATCTTGCCTTTTCCTTCTTTATTATATGAGTTTTGATCTTGACATTGATAGCCATCTTGTCTCCTCACCTCTGAACCAGGTTTGGGATCAGATTGCCCCAGGTTTAGCGCATGAGTTTGATGCACCTCATTCAATTCTAGCAATTACACCACGCCCTCTCTTGATTCTAAATGGTATGCCCAGAAAATAGCTATGGGAACTTACTGATTTGAAGCTTACAGAGCATCCTTCTTTGGTTAAGTATGGGAGCAAATGTTTCTTTTTTTGTTGAAGATTGTCAGATAACATGATCCATATGGTCGTAGTAGCAATAGTGATATAAGGTTTATCACCGTCTAATCAATGGTTGGACAGTGATGGAGAGATAATGAGTCCGTAAAATTCAAAATTCAAATTGTATGATGGTGCCCACGGCTGCCAACACTGTCCAAGCCATTGATGGGACTGTGATAACCTTTAGATCATGAAGTTTCATGACTATGTGGATCATGTTATAGAGGCCCTTAAATTTATGAGTTCCATGGTTCTGCTTTTCCTGTAAAGAGGGTGATGCAGTTGTGGGAATTACTGTGATTCTTCTTATGTGGCCCACCGATTTTTATCTTGTTGTGATACCTCCAGGGACTGTACAAATTTTTATCTCAAGGATTTTATTTTCATCCCACTTGGATGAAATTTTAAATAACTTTAACCTCGATACATCAGGCGAGTTAACTTGTACTCGCTTGACTTGACCTGACTTGGCAATATATTGAGTTGTAAATGATGAAGCTTAAGTTATGCCAATCTGATACCAAATTTAAAGTTGCTTTAGACATAAGTTCCCATATGGCAGTATCTAAATCATTTGTTGCTAATAATTATACTTTCCATGATATTTTTAGGCGAAGAAGACCCTCGATGTCCTGTTGAAGGTTTGCAAAGTGCAATTGAAAGAGTGGTTGAGGCATATTATCTGGCCAAATCTCCTGGGAATTTCAAGGTTCGAAATTATCTTACTTCATATACTCTATTTTCAAACGTGCCAATGTGCTGGAAGTTGGAACTGTGAGCTTTTTATGTCTCCTGAATTACATTTTAATGGTTAGTGCTGATTCAATACAATTGCAATCTTTCTTATTACAGGAACTTAGTTTCTATGGAAAATCTTTTGTTACTTGGAGTTTTCTTGTGCTATTAGGAATGATATGCTCCGCATTGCATCGAAAGATTTGATAGTTGAAATTATTTAGACTTAGTTGGGTTGACCATGTGCAGCGTAAATCCAATACAACGCCAATTAGGAGGTTCAGATTTGATTCAAGTGAAAGGCTCTAAAAAAGAAAGTGGAAGGCTCAAAAGGATATTGATAGAAGTAGTGAGAAAATATATGAAGATTTATGGTCTTAGTGAGGGTATGATCCTTGATAGAGTTGAATGGTGGATTTGAGCTCTGAATTGAACGAGCAATTTATATGAAAATTTTAAAAGCAAAAAAAATTTAAAAATTATAAAAAAATCAGGAGACTCGGGTGACTATGGCATCCTGGAATGGCCTGGCTCCATCGGACCCAAGGGGTTTTCATCCTGGAATGGCCTGGCTCGGAGCCGACTCGCAGCCTCGAAATCTTTCAAACACTAAGAAAACAGAATCTCCATAGAGACTAGAAGGGCAGTGTGCAACATCTTTGTTCATAAGAAAATAATAAAAACGTGGTGGCATGTATTTTGACCATCAAGTTTCACATTATGGTATGTTTAGTAATCTGATAAAGGTCTGCCCAGCGGCGCATTTTTTTATACGAGTTTGCTCTTCCCATCCAACTGATAAAGGTCTTTCTCTCTCAATAGATCTCGACCTAATATATATATATAGTGTTGCCCTAATATGAATAGTAGTTTAGGTCACTTTCCCAGCCATCCTATCTTGATCGGATGGTAGAAAAATACTAGTTGCTACTTGAATGTTAATTTTTTTTTTTTACAAATTGAATGAAGAAGAAATTTTGTATACGTGTCCTACATAATAGGGTGCACAAGAAGAAATATAAAATAAATATTCTTAGAAAGTTAAAATAACCAAGAAAAAAATAAAACAAATATTCTTAAAATTCTAAAATAACCAAATTACCTCAAAAGATGATGGGGGATAATTTGGTTATTTTTAATTTTAAAAATATTTCTTTTATATTTTTATATTGTACTGATGGCTTCAAGTACATACACTTCAAATTTTAGATTGACTTGATTAATAGAAAAAATAAAATAAAATAAAATTCTTATAGTGTATGCATTTTCAACCATTTAAACAAGATCTAATGGTTTGGAGCAGTGTTTTAAAAATCGGCGAGTCGAACCGGACTCGCCCGGTTCGACTCGGGATCCGACCAGCCCATGTCGGTTCTATCATAAAATCAGGAACCGCCCGGTTCCCATCCGATTCAGTCGGTTCACGCACGTGCTCTCGTTCGTCCGTGCGCGCTCACATGTGCAAGGTTGCCGATTCACTGTATAGAATCGGATGGTGATGTCATGTCTCGGCATGTATGATGTTCAAGGGTAAGTGGGATATTTGTCTTAAAAAGACAGGTAATTTTCGATATTGTTGGACGGCAGTACCACAATCATATATAACCACGTGTTACCCCATGTACCGTTCGTTCGCACGCTGTTGAAGAGCTCAACCTCACGTCTTTTATAAACTTGGAAGTCGCTTGATATTTTCGATGTGGGACAATTCCCACTTGCCTTCAACAGCATGCAAGCCATCGTCACACAAGCTATTAATTATTGCAAGCCATTATCCATATGTGTAGCGTTTTAATTTAGCGTGTCAAATTAATAGCACTAATAAACGGCTATATAAAATTTAAAAATAAATTAATAGCACTCATTAATTTAGTGTGCCAAATTAAAAAATAGCCATATAAATTTTTTTGATGTTTATTAGTAAAATAGTTTTTTCGATGGTTTTTATTACAATATTTTATTTTTATTTTTATTTTTTTGTAGCTATTGTTCATATTGCCGATAGGAGTTTTTTTTGAATTTTGGCATCTTTATTTTTCATTTTTTTGGGTAAAGTTATTTTGAATCTTTTAATATAATTACATTATAATTTCTTGGTGGTTTTATTTTTAATTTTAGTCATATGATATGGAAGCCTCTTCTAATAAATTTTTAATCACTTTTCAATTAGATAATATTTTAAAATATTTTTAATTTGTTATTATTTGTCTAATAAAATAATTATAAAATGTAAACTAATAATTATAATTTCAGTATATAATATTATAATTAGTTAAGTTGTAATAATTTTGGATTATAGTTAGTTAGGTTGTAATAATTTAGGTTTTTTTAGCGGATTAGGGTTTTTCGCCAAAACAAGATTTTAATGGCCATTCTTTCATTGATTAGTCTACATTTTATAATAGTCCATGTATAATTATATATTTTATCCATGCTAATTCTATGATTTTTTTTTTATGTGATTGCAAATTTTAATATTTAATTTAAGTTTATACTAAGGAAAGAGCATCTCAATATATACAAATTGATGAGAAAAAATGAAAGTTAATAATATAGTA